TATACATATACACACACTCTCTGAATGAACAGAGGCTGAAACACACAGGTCAGTTCACTGACAGATGTGAAGACAGAGCCTTTTTTTACAAAGCTGCAATTCACCATATGTACAAGAAAAACAGCTACATAGAAATACGCGTATCTTATTAGATGCAGTGAATAGAAATGCTTAAGAGCAGCCACAGGGTACTTCACCTCTATCTTAAAATAATGTTTTTCCCAAGTATTATTTGGGGTTAAGAGTGGAGAGCATTTTTCACCTACCCGTGTCTCCCTTCAGTGGGGCTGACCAATGGAGCACACATCCCGAGCGCTATGCATGAGCACACTGTACTCCCTCACAACTCTAACCAGCATCTGCACCTACCCATGTCAGAACAAACAACAATAAAACACTGCCTCCCCAAAAAACACAGCCACCACAAGGTCAGTAGGATAGCGCACAGAGACACTGCATTAGAGAACACAAGAGTAAATCCCCATGGGACGTGGCTTCTAAGGCATGAGGCACAAAGCGTGCCTTACGCTTTGCTTTCATATAAAAGCAAACATATAAACTGCCCCACAGGCTCCATGCCCACATGCAGCCGTTTCATCTCAATCAGCCAACTTCAATTCATCACTAATAAGACATACCCACCTTTCCTTCCACAAAATCACGTATCTTAAACTTTTTATCAGGCCTCCACTTGTGCTCACTCAGTCATGATTCCCACTGGTCCAAGACAGAGATACATTAGCGAAGCTAATTGAACAGTACATGGATCTTTTTAGTTAATGTAATGCTATAACATGATGGAAAGCACAGCAACAATAGGCTGCAGCAATTGAGGATATGCTCAGATGCAGCAGCCATGGACACCAAAACAAAGGGAAAATGAAAAAAATCTGCTTACCCTTAGAAGGCCTCAGGTATGCAGGGATCTCCAGCAAGATACCCTCACCTCCCCTGCCAACCCTTACATCAGGTCTGGGAAGGGGTGGATCCTGGCTCCATCAGGTGCAATCACTTGGGTACATTGCATGCACCTGAGTTCCCCTGGGTTGGTCCTGCCTTCCTACCAGGTGCTCAATCACTGCTTCAAGACATGACTTAGCATTTCTGCTACAGTAGACAAAACAAAATACTGAATAAAAAGGAAAATGGAACTAAGATACTTCTTTGAACAGCTATCTGGCACTGTAGCAAAGTGCTATTATCAGTAGTCAGTAAGTTTACCAGGAGATAACAGCACACAAATGTATTTCTGCCTCAGGATCGGCTTCACAGGAGTCATAGTCTACCAATGTAACTGTGAGCATGGGCTTGGCCAGCCATGGCACTGTTTAACACTGTGAGCTGGCTAACACAGTGCATGTTACTACTCTGAAAAGGCACAGGATAAAAGCCACAAATAGAAGGAAATTTCATCATTTTCTTTCTAATCAGCTAAATTTTTTTCCTGTTCAAACTAATGGAAGCTCTACTATTTATTCACAGTTGAGAGGTTAATTGGCCCAAGGGGAAAAAATTACTCTATTAAATACTTCCAGTTTATTTAAAGTAAAACTTTGCTGGAATTAATTTGAATTATTAATGCTGGTTGTTATATATATTTGTCCCCAAATAACCTTTTTCTCATGACACTATAGTGACAGTTCAGGGATCTCAGTAATGATTTTTTTAGTATATTTCCGTACTCAACTAAAAAAGATAACATCCTCAAAGGAAAAGAACCACTGTTATTTCCATTTCTTTCACAAAATTTGTGAAATATCTAGCAGTATTTCAATGGGCTGTTTAAATACACAGGTATGTACATTTGCCTACACCCAGTCATTCCAAAAACAAAATAAATTCACACAGTTCTTATGGACACCTTCTAGCAGGGGAGAAGCTAATCGAGTAATAAATTTGAAGTTGGGCTCTGCAAATTCCACTTATCTTCAACTGGAGCTTCAGTCAGTCAAACTGTTAGGATCATGGAAAGAAAATGGAATTCCCTGTGCTACTGAAAGATGAGATACGAACTGCCACCTTCATACACAATCAGAGCACAGTTTTGAGCATCACTGTGTACTACTCCAATGAATTATTACAACAGTGGAAAAGAGGATTTTCAGCGCAATTCTACTCTTCTGTGCTTATTTGTTAACAAAAATGGATTTCTCCTCTTCCACTACAGGCCATAGGTTTGAGCAGTGCAGCAAGCACACTTCAGCTTTTATGTTCATCGTTTAAAGATATTCAGCAAATCACAGGGTCTAAATCAAAGATCGTATCTCCAGTAAACATTTAATTTACAGATGTCTGTGGAATAATCTACTAGTTTTCAAGGTTTCTGTCCTTTTAGTCCCCCCCCAGCACAAGCAAAGATCTTTATCATCAGGAAGATTACCACAACACAGTTGCCTGACCTTTTTAAACCTATTTTCTGCTAGTGTCAGAAAGCGTGTGATAAAAACCAACTTGCATAGGAAGTTTATTAAAGTGTTTGTTGTCATCGTTTTTCACCCCCAAAACAAAATTAATTGCATAAGCAATGATAAAAATATAGCAAATAATATATATTTTAGCTGCTCGTCAACTTAGCTTTAAATTATTATTAAGTTTACCTGCAAAGGACTTGTTTACAGCACGTGCAGATATGAGTAGCACAAGCATACCATAAAATATGTAACATTTCATGGTTTTGAGATCTGCATCTAAATTAATTGGACTATTAATGGCAAAATGTAAGAAAGAAATCATATACCTTTTATTTTCACTAATGGGCAGTAACACCTTGGCATAATTGATTAGAAGTGCTTATTTCTGATGCACTGGCGTTTGGCAGATGCAAATCTTTGTGTCTAGATATGCATAAAATGACAAGCAAAACAGGAAAACGTAGCCAACTGTGATGTGAATACCTCAGCCCATAACAAACACGCTACTTGGCCAGCAACAAATTTAGATTTTCCTGAGTGACACAGAAAAGCTCCAGCCATAAGATCCTTATCCCTCATCCAAATTTATCCCCCAATACATTTGTCCTGTATCTTTGAGGTTCCTAACAGATCAGACAAAATTCTTACAAAACTAACCTAGTTCAAGCTCACATCAGTCTTTGAGAACTTAATTCTACAGGCAAAACATTGTTATTTTAACACAGCATTTTATAGTGGAAGAAACTGTATCAACAGTTAGGCTCCAAACAGTAGCAAGCTAAACAAAGCTGTTTAGTTCCTCTCATCCTCAGGAATGATCACAGCTCAAAACATCATGCCTGCTAAAAGCAATAAAACCCTATAAGATCCAGAGAGGTAAACCAAAAGATTGGATCACTTAACTGTTATTCCTGCAAACACATATTATGAACAGTCCAAATGCTTTCCAAGTAGCTGTTCGTAGGATAGAGATGTTCAGATACACCAATATTTATCAGGGTGGTTATTTAAGGTTCAGAAGTCCAATCAAATATTTAAAAAAAAATCTGTTTCTGTCAAATGTGACTGTATTCATGAGATTTAAGATTACCAGACCACTATCTTTTAAAAACTTGCTGAAATGAAAATTCATTTCACAATTCAAAGCAGATACCTGTCAGTTCTCACCATGTAGAAATTCCATTTCTTTCCAATCACACTTTCAAATGAAGTGTTTGGAGCAGGGATAACTCCAAAATATCCCCACACACATTCTTGATTTCATAAAGGTTATGTTCAATGAGTACTCACAGCACTGAATAATAATAATAGTACTGGCTATTTGTGTCTAGACAGTATCACGAGTGTAACACTTAATGAACAATAAGCCAAAGGTCAGGATATTTCCTATTAAGCAGGTGTCTTCATCAGGAGCTATGTTTGGAAGCCTGTTCTGCACTACACCACCACACTGTCTCATGCACACTGTCCTGAGAAAAATCTGTAATTGTCTCCAAGATTTTCATAAATTCCACTTCTACTACCAGTGTGTTTTAATAAGATGATGAGACTTTTAGAAGCGAAAAAAGCTATGAGAATAAAACTAACAATTTTTACAGCTAAAAAAATCCCAATCCCTATTCAATCAATGATGCTTGTCTTCCTACTCTCAACAGTAAGCCTGCTTACCTCCACATGCATAATTTCAATATAGGATTTCATTTCTGCTGTAAAACAACATATCAGAATCAAAGCTGCAGATTACTATAGTGCAATGTCGGTGCTAATTGAGTTTCTTCATATATTAGGCTTAACTTTCTGCTTAGCAAGGGCTTTTTTTTCCTCCCCTAAATATATTATTATCGTACATAAGCTTCTCTCTTTCTTCATAACAATGATATGCTCTTCCATTTATTAAGTCTTTGTTTTTTTTTTCCCCTTATTTTGATTCCCTTATGTAGGAAAGCACAATTAAGTTGAAGAGCAGACACAGTATGGCACATAACTGCAAGTAAGTCTCCAGGCACTTTGCATGGACCAAAAACTGGACAGCTTGGCAAACATGAATGCTTTGCGACAAGGAAATATAAGCCAGAAGGGGTGTCCAAGGGCAGTGGCACTGTATTTGCTTCAGGATCTGACTGTATGCTCAGCCCTCAGTGGAGTTCATAGCCTCTAGAAAGCTACTGTTGCCTCTTTCCTGTGAAGATGCTCCTAGGCTTCTCCCCACCCTCTCACCTACTTGTCCAATGTACACATGCCAAGATTTTGCCACATACCAAATCTAAGCACAAGGGTTGTCTATGCTCACTCTGGTATTTTAATTTTTAATACCTCAGGCTTTAGACATTTTGTTGCTTACTTATATGAGATACTGAAAGGATATTAATAGAGTATCACATCCAAAATGACTGAATTTTTGCTAGTCAAAGCAATATTTTCACCTGCGATTTTAAAACTAAGTGTGGATAACTGTATTGCCACCAAAGATATTTTGCTTTTAAAATGTATAATAATGTTTGGCATTATTCTAGATGTTCATACATCACTTAGTATTCACGGTACACAGCTATCCAATACTGTGTGAGAGACAGAATCTCTAATACTTACAGCCAATCATCATCATCGCAACAGCAAAGATCTTCTCCCCATCTGTAGTCGGTGCAATGTTTCCAAATCCAACACTGGTGAGGCTGGTCATTGTAAAATACAATGAGGAGATGTAGACAGAATCCTTGCTTGGCCCACCTTCCCATTTTCCAAAGCCAGATGTGTTAAAACGGTAAGGTGTTCCTATTGACATTCCCAGCTGATAGAGCCAGCTCTCGGTTCGGATTGTGTTTGTATCCTCATCAATAACTTCATAGTCTCCTATGCTGTACCAAATGCAGGCCAACCAGTGTGCTGCGAGACCAAACACACACACCAGCAGAACCAAGACTGCTGCTCCATATTCTATGTAGTGATCCAATTTCCGAGCGACACGACCCAGGCGAAGTAGTCTGACCACTTTAAGTGAACTGAAGAGGCTACTGATGCCCTAGAAGGATAAAGAACAGCGAGCATTAGAATCAAAGACTGAAGCAGCATTTGTAACTGACATTTGTAAAGACACGAGATGATATATCAGAATTAAGTGTTCATAAATAAATTAAAAAAAAAAAACTGTGAAACATGAACTATATAATGATTCTTTTCAGGGATGGACACATGCCTTATCTTTACGCACTAACATTTTGCAGGCCTCTGAATTTCACTTTTGGGTGTTTTCGATAGCCATTTGGAAAACTAGAAGAGCTGAACAGTCTTTCATAGAAAAGCTTTGCTTTTTTTTTTTTTTTTTTCTTTCTCCCCTATTCCTCCTTATCATGATGGCTTTCATACAGAGAACTCTGATTAAAATTTAAACAGACAGGTTTAATGAGTATTTCTGGAAATGTATAATTGCATACTTCTGGTCCCCAGCTTTTACTGGAAGTTTGTTTATTCCCACATAAATACAACTGCTTCAGTATCTAAGGCTGGTTCAATGCACTAGAAGAGATGTTTTATTAAATAATTACTTAAAGCATATTGACTCATGTTCCCCAGGACTGCAGCAATGTATTTCCTCTTTATTTCATGAATTTGTCATGATTACATTGGCTCATTTTCAGAGATAGATATAATTTGTTACCTCAGAACACATTATCTATTTCCCTTCAGGGGAGGGAAAGCAGGTACTTCTGAAGGCTAAGTATGGAGGGGAAAAAGAAAAAAGGGAAAAGAGAAAACATAACAAAAACAAACTAAATAAATAATTTGATCTTTAAGGTCTCTTCTAACCCAAGTCATTCTATGATTACCATATTTTAGAAACCAGGCATGCAAGTCCCTGAGTGATGAGCATGTCTACATCCTAAATATCTGCATTCTAGTACTACCACTCCATTTTACAGTCTTTTCTCCCAGGACCAAAGTCCATTTTTCCTTTATATCTGCATAATTTTAACAGGAAAACAACATTATACTACATTACTAGAATTCACCAGTAATTACCAACTTTTAGTTTTAGTCTAAAAATTAAGCCTTTAATCACACAGTGCTTTTAAGTCCGTGGCAATGGCAAGAAAAAAATTACAGCACTCTAAAAATCAGTTTAAATTTTGCTGAAAAATGACACAATATTTGTTCTATAAAATGAAGTTTATTGCTGGATTTAAAAAAAATCTGCTTGTCAATGAGTCCTACCAAAGGAAAACAGTGATTCAGCAATGATTCAGGAAGGACTTAGATGTTTGAGGATTTGATTAATTCTTAATTGAGTTAGACTGAAAAGAAGGACTAGAAATACTAGGGGGGAATAAAGAAAAAAAAAACCCAGAAGAGGAGCTGAAGAAGCTGGATATAAAAATAGGAACGCAAACTACAATATCTGAAATTAGATGAAAAAAGTTTAAAGCAAACAGCCTTCAGAGCTTCAGAACAGAGTATCTGGAGATCACTGTATTCTTATCTGAACTTTCCTTGTGAAATTCCGCAAAATGGAATTTCGTAAAGCATTTCAAATAACGTAGACTCAGAAGAAAGGTTTTGTCTATTCTAAGTGGATCAATACAAAAATGAAGAAACGTGTAAAGATTTTTTAAACAATTCTCTTAACATTTCCTAAGTGACAGAATTTCAAATTGGTACAAACAATGAAATAGTCTATTTTATAGGCTGTTAAGTAGAAAAAAATCAGATAATTCCCCAAGACTTTAAAACAGCACTTTTTGTCACTAAATTTAGCAACTAAAATTTTAATACTCATGGAAATAGATCTGCTGGATTCAAAATTGACATTTTTAGATAGCTGCTTTCCAAAATAGAACTGTGCTTTTCGATTACTGTCCATTCTAATGCTCTTATCTGAGCAGATTATTTTTATGCTTTTACCATACAGATGTCTCCGTGATGTCACACACAAAAAAAAGCTTGAACTCAATTTACTCCTCTGGATGCTTGTACCACCCTCTTAGCTTGCTCCTGCTACAACATTTGAGAGGCAGGTTCAGAAACACTCAGAGTTCCTTCCGCCCAGACAAAACCTTGGTTCATAAAGAACTAGAAATTGTATTACAGGTCCCCAGATGCCCAACAACCCCTTCCCAAATGCTTTGCTATAAAGAATCAATTTTAGGCATCTACAATGCAGACAAGAAATGACAAAATAAGGAATATCCCACCAAGTTCGATCTAGGCTAGATTTATTCAGAGAGAGTTCCACCTGATTGTATTCCACAGATCCCTCCTCTGGGGAGTATGTAAAAGCTAAGAAATCTCTTCTAAGTCCCTGGTAGAAAATCAGTACATTTTTAAATATATTTTTCTTGCAGGGAAAAATTGTCAGCATAAAATGATGAATTTCACACACCATTATATAACAAATTTTTTGAAGTAACTGAATGAAACTAAACATATTACTGCTCATACCCACACGTAGTTGCCTGCTGGTTTTTGGCTGGGATAGACTTCACTTTCTTTAGTACAATGCTACATTTTGGATTTGTGACAAAAACAGCATTGACAACAGATATGTTTTAGCTATCGCTGAGCGGGGCTGGCACAGCACCAAGCTCTTTCCTGCTTCTCCTACTAGCAAAGATGCTGGGGGTGCAAAAGAAGCTGGGAGGGGACACAGCCAGGACAGCTGGCTCCAGCTAAACAAAGAGATATTCCATACCACACAATGCTATGCTCAGCTATACACATGAGGAGGAATTTTCCAAGGCTGCCATTGCTCCATGACTGCCTGCGCAGTCACCTCATAATGCACAACTTTTTTAATTTTTTTATTTTTTTAATTATCTAATGGTCTTTATCTCAACCCCTGAGTTTCTAAATTTTGCCCTTCCAATTCTCTTCCCTCATCTCACTGGGGGAGAGTGACAAAGTGACCGTGGTATTTAGTTGCCTTCAAGGGTTAAACCACAACAAGTTGCTGACATTTTTTCAAATATTTAATACGCTGGCTGTTTTATTTTCATTGCTAGTGATGGATGATGCATGGAGATTGAAAAATCTGTAGTAAACCAAAGGGCAAGGACAAAGCACTGAGAGCCAGAAGAAATAACTCAGCATTCTCTGATTGATCAAACTCAAATTTCAAAAGCCCTTATAATAATAAGCACAACAACCACCACCCCCTCCTCCTATGCAATCTTTAAGGAATAGAACTATATCTCAGAAGACCAGCATTCTTCAGTACTGCAGGAAAACAAAACCCATCAGAAGATGCTTCAGAAATTTATCCATGGAACACTGCTAAAACTAAATTTCCTTGCATAATGTTGCAAATTACACCTACTCACTGTGCACTTTTACATAGATTTTCTTCAGTATCACCTTTTCTTTCTGCAGAACGTGACCTGCAGTCAGTGTCTCACACCTGTATCTCAGCCACGTGCCGAATCCTCTCTCAAAACAGAGGATCCAGAATACTGATGTTTTGACTTCAGCTTTGCGTCGGACAACAGAAGATTTATACCATTATTTCCACATACATGAAGAGAGGTAAGGAGAAAAGACATTGCAATAAATTACTTTGTGATGGCGTTTTGTGCTTTTTTGAAAACATATGGGTGGTAGCAGAGTATTTATTAGTTACTTGTGTCTCTACAATCCTTAAACCAGCAGCAGTGGACACTACAGTGCATGGTGCCATACAAATAAAAACAAGTTACTGTTCATTTGCTGAGCAAATGTGAAATCAATTCAAAATTTACTGCTTTGTAACAAGACATGGGATGAAAAACTTCAGCAAAGAAGTAAAACATGACTTTCATCCCACCTGCTAAAGCTGATTTAAAGCTAGGATTTTAAAAATAAATCTGCATGACAATATGGTAGCATTCAATTTTTATGTTGTTATTTACTTTCCACATGTCCAGAATGAAAACACACAAACTAAGCATTAAGATATTTTTTTCTGGGCTCCAAGGAAATAAAGTTTATTTACTACTAACTATTTTTAGAAAGAGAAATACTGACGTACATTTGCTCTATGATTTCTAGCACCTTCTTCTCACACATAACAGTTGATGTTCTGGCTTCGCTTCAATTAAAGGGAGATGCAGGAAAACAACAATTAACCATTACAAGAATGAGAATGAAACAGAACAAAAAATATATTATTTGTCAAAAAAAAAAAAAAACGAAGATGACAAACCAGATTTATCACTAGTGTAAGAGAGACAAGAGCCATGGAAAGCAATACCTTGCTTCTTGGCATTTGATTCCTTCGTCAGCTGTACTGCAGCCTGGCAGAAACATGGCAGCCCTATCTGCCATCAGGTCATTATTAGGACTTTTGATTTTTGTTTTTTGCCTTTTCTAATTTTCTTAATTAGGTCTGCAAACGCGACCTTTCCTACAGATTGCCATATTGAGCATGAGATAACATTATGCACACAGGTCAAAATCAATATCTAAACTTTCTGGTTGCTGCTGTGGTTCCAAGTACTGAAGAACACAGATCTCTAAACTCACAATGCTTATTTTAGTCAGACATCCCCCAGCTTGGTTAGAATCCATGGAAAAACAGCAATAATTCATGTATACGAGCATAGAGTGCAAAAAGAGATTAAAAGGCTGATTTTTCATTTATAAAGCTTGCCTTACACATATAAACACTCTCAGAAAACCAGCATATGCAGGAAACAAACTCTTTTTTTAAAGCACTGACTGTAAGATCAAGGCCAGAGATAAAGATGCCATGCAGGTAACATAAAGCTTCCAATTGCTATTTACCCATTCCACATTCCCAAATCAAAAATTTACCCGGGTTATGTCCCGCCTTGTAAGGGGAGGGAAGGAGTGACCAGAAGGTTAGAAAATGATTTCTGTTGCTCCTTTACATCCTTACAGACGGCTGTTTTCCAGGGCTTCTGATTCAAAGAACCAGCCAGTTTCAGAAGTTTTTTTTAAACTTCCTCTGAATGGGCAAACATCCAAATAAAATTTAGCATTACAGGCATCCAGAACCACTCCATCTTAGATTCAAATCCAATCCCTAATATA